GAAGTAGTGGAGGATCATCTGGATGCTGCAGTGGAGGATCATCAGGCTATGGCATGGGAGGAGGATCCAGTGGTGGGTCTTCAGGATCAAAGAGTATAAGTGGAGGGGGAAGTAGTGGAGGGATGCTGCAGTGGGGGATCCTCAGGCTACGGCATGGGAGGAGGATACAGCGGTGGCAGTGGGGGATCAGGCCACAAGATCATTATTAGCTCAGGTGGTGGAGGAGGTGGCTCATCTGGATGCTGCAGTGGAGGATCCAGTGGTGGGTCTTCAGGAGGCAAGATCATCATTGGAGGTGGAAGCAGTGGAGGTTCCTCTGGATGCTGCAGTGGAGGATCTGGTGGTGGCAGTGGCGGTTCGTCAGGCCACGGAATCATCATCAGCTCTGGAGGGGGCAGTGGAGGGTCCTCCCATTCCACGCAGCAGAAATGCCCCATTGTCATTCCCCACATCGAGTCCCATCAGACCAAGCAGGCCTGCCACTGGCCCCCCAGCCACCAGAAGTAACAGCCACAGGTGGCCTTGGCACCCAGTGAGAACAACCCCTCCTCTGCCATCTCACAGTTTTGCCTCCAGACCCTGTGCTGTTTGCTGTTTCCTCCAAGCGTGTCCTCTCCTCTTCCCTTGATGCTGCTTCCCTGTGCTGAAACTCCAGGATTAACAGTCCTGTGCCCTGCTGCTGGTGTTGGAACTCCTGAGGATACTTTTTCAAAGAGCATTTTTCATATCTAATAAATGCAATAATATCTCAAATCTACCTTTTTTGAGAGTTTGTTTTTTCTTGTATTCTCAACCAAGGTCTTATGGTCTTGGGAGATAGAAATCTATCTGATGAGACATCTCACTCCTCTCTGTAGAGAGATGGTGGGTTCAATAGTGCATTGCTGTAGATGTAGCCCTAAAGCCACCCAGTTTGTAGCCCTGGAGAGTTTGAAACTTCATTTTCACCTGGGCTCTGTGATAGAGAGCCCAAAACATAAAGCACTCTGAGCACCCAACATCCCTTTGAGACCTGTGCAAAGTGCAGCCATCCCAGCTCATGGCTCTAAGGCTTCTGATGCAGCAGCATCCAAGGACAAAGTCTGTGAAGATGTGTTGTCCCCCCAGGAGACACAGCCAAGTCCATCAGGCTCAGTCCTGGAGAGCAGGGATTGGGACCGACCCTCAACAGCAGCTGTTGCCATCCAGAGTGGCCAATAACACCAACGTCCACACCCCTGCCATGCCCCTGCTTCCCTCCCAGCTTTGCAAACTCAGAGCAGCTCATCCCGGAGGGTAAACCTCACACGCTGGATCTGCCAAATCAGCCCTGGGCCAGGTAGAAGGAAATAAAACCAGCAGCAAGTCCCTCGGGCAGCTCAATGCAGTCCAGATCATGCCTCCAGGCCTTAATGTCTCCTTGCCCAAGCATTTGAAATAGCCGAGGCCAGCATCACCACCCTTGTGCACTGCTTTCTGCCCCATAGACGTGGCCTTTTGCGAAAGTTGGGACTGGCTGTCCCCATGGCAAAATAGTCCAGCCTGCAAGAGCCATGCTGTGGGGCTGATCTGGAGCACCACAGGCTGCAGCATGCTGGTGGACATCATGGATGTGGACATCGTGCGGGTCCATACAACCGGCACGGTCACGGCACATACCCCCTGCAGCCCTCTGGACCAGTCTCCCCAGAGTCCCTGGTGCTTGGTGCTCTTTCCAAGCTAGAGGAAGGACACAGCATGTGAAAATGCAGAAGAAAGCTTTGGAGGCATAATCCTTCATTAGAGGAGTAATTCAGCCACAGCGGATTGAAGCGTTAGGACAGTCACACCTCTGTAATTCTCTCCAGGGCACCTAAGCTTTCTCAGAGCACCTCTACCACCCTTCAAAAATGCCTAAGCCGGGTGTTTCACTTTTGGCGAGCTTCTGGTTCGGATGCAAATGTCTTCCTCAGAAAATCTCCCACTGCGGGAGCCACCAGTGGGATCAACGTGCCGTGCGGCCAGCAGGTGTTTTCTCAGCATTCGTCTTCCACTTTCCTGGGTATCTGCAGATCACACCCACCCCTGCAGTGATGCCCCGAGCCAAGAGTGCTACCAAACCGAAAAACTTCCACTCCCTGCCCCTTCCCCGAGAAGGACTCGGTCACCACCACCCTCTGCCCCAAACTCACTAATCCTCTTACTCAGCATCTCCCTACACCCATGCTCCCACCCACCTCCCCTGGCCTCCCCCAGTGTCACCACCTTGCTGGGGGCCGAAGCGATCCCCCACGGGTCAGGGCAGGAGCACAGGAATAGGATCATTAAGCGGGAGTAGCAATTACTGCTGCATGCAACGCAACAAGTAGCGTGAAGGCAAGATATTGATCGGATGTCATGAGTCAAAGCAAAGGCTGAAATCAGAATTTGACTGGTAAATAAATCCTTGCCATTCCTCAGGGTGTCTCACTTCCCATATATGCTAAACACCATATAAAAGTTCCTGTCTCTTTAAGCTCCTCATTCAGTCGACTTTTATCTTCTAAATGTGTTTCCAATGGCTGAGGAGGGTAAGTCTGCTTTTTCTGAGCTTTTATTATTTCATATTCAAGGGATATATTTTCTCTTGACAACTTGACTTGCAGCAGTAGCCACGTTGCTTGAGCATCCACAGCAAAGTTCTTGGGATCTGTATGATTTCTTGCTATGGTGCAGATCAGGTCGCTAGGAAGCAAGGCAAAGTCAGGTCACCGAACCCAGAGTTGCAAGGTTGGGCAGGCTAAAACCCCAGATGAGTCTGCAGGGACCAGCACGTGGTGACTGCAGTGTCTTTGCAGTTTTAAACAGGTTTGCAACATGCAGGACACATTTTTTTTTATATTACTTAACAACAAGCCTATGCTGTACTCCATGGCTGTGCCGATTGCCTTATGTAAAAGACCTTTGATGGTGCTACGCAACGACAGCAATAATACAGCCGGCAATGTCATCTTGGCCGGAAATTTTGATCCACCGCTCTTGCATCAGTTTAAAAAAAAGAAGCGAGGATAATCCTTGCTATTTTTACAGATCTGCAGTTACAGTCGTGAAGATGAGTGGGGAGAACCATGGCAGTTATTAGATGTTAAAAGAATATATTTCAAATTTCAATTCTCTGGAAATACATCCTGGAGATAAGAAACAGAAAAGCTAACCCAGTAAGACTCAAAATACTCTTGCATTTGAAGAAGAGCCTGACATTGCCCCAGGCCCTGGCAAAGCCTTTCTGACCACACCACCTGAAGCCTCCCCACCTGCCATGGTGCAAAAATGGTGCAGGTTTGAAGGTTTTTTTTCCTCTTTCAGATTTATCGCTATCTCCGAGAGAGATGCGCCCAGCGGAACAGGGGCTACAGCAATGAGATCTCCTCGCACCGCAGAGGAAACCACTCAAACCTCCATGGACATGGGTCCTTCTTCTGCAGTGGGGAAGGCTCGATCATTTACAGCCGGGACGCTTCATCCTGGCAGCCCATGTCAACGTTGTCCACCTACAACGCTGCAGGGCGGTACAGATGTGACGGCGATGGATCTGTTGTAATAACCAGCGGCAACAGCGGGGGGACGTCTGGCTGGGGCGCTGCAGGGGGGACAGTCCCAGTCTATGGCAGTGAACAGGGTGGGGCAACGAGGGCTCAGGACGGAACCCCTTTGTCAGCTCCGGGGGTGGTGGAGGATCCACCTGCCATAGTGAGAGATTGGGCATCGCTGGGGGAGGAGGCAGTGGGTCAGGGTACAGTAGCAGAGGACTGGGCTACGGCATCGGGGGATACTCAAGCCCAGAGCTCAGCTACGGAGGCGGTGGGTGCTCCCAGGCCATACAGCAGAAATGCCCTGTGGTCATTCCCAACATTGACACTCAACAGAGCAAGAGGGCGGTGGGTGCTCCCAGACCATACAGCAGAACTGCCCTGTGGTCGTTCCCAACATTGACACTCAACAGAGCAAGAATATCAACCACTGGCCCCCAAGCCAGAAGAAGTGATCCAACTCAGCAGCCACCCCTGCTCAAGCAAAAGTGCCCTGGATGTGTCATCATGGTCAAGGAGCTTTGCATTCCTCACGTTGGGCTGTGACCACCACTGGGAAAAGTGACTTGTGCTTTGGTGACGGGAAAAGATTCTTCTCTCCGTCTCCTTTTGCTCATGGGTTGGAAAATAAAACTTCATAGTCCGTGGGAAAATCCAGTATTTGAATGATTTCCTTGATTTCTGCCTCCTTCACTCAAAATCCAGATAAATGCCCAAGGAGTCTGCTTCACAACACAAGATTTATCTTCCAACATTTTTGAGATATATTTTACAGACGCTCTCCAATGTACCATTTATTTTAATAGAATTAAAACATACCGCTTGCAACAGCAAGAGAAGGTGCTTAGTTTTGCTCTTGCTGAAGTCAGAGCTTACCCCATCCTGTTCCCATCAAATGGAAACGTTCTGCCCTGCCGAGACCCTCTGCGTGGGTACTCAGACCAGACCCTGCGAGCTACGTGAAGGAGATATGCAAAACCCGCAGGTGATTTCCAACTGATTATTATTTACAGCGTGACCTTGGGAGTGCAAGGTTGTTTACTTGGAAACAATTACACACCAGCCTCCCGTCCCAGAGAGATTGCAGGTGATGTTGTAAGCCGGAGCACGTAAACCTTGCACCAGTGGCATGAGGCAACTCGAACCAGCTCGGTTGCTTCTTTGCAGTAACCTGCTTCATGACATTTTTTGATAGGAACAGGCCCTAAATTAGTCAGAGGGGGAAGACGGTTCCTCTGTGTTGTCCTGGTGGGAGGATTGAACATCCAGTGCCAGTTGTAACTTGTTTTTTGACAAGCAATTAATATTTCAAGACTGTTCTCTGGGGTTTTTTAACCCTTCCAAGTATTGATAACAGAGGAAAAAAACACCCATAGATCTGTGCCCATTTAAAAGGGAGGGAAAAGAGCATAAAATTCCATTGTAAACTATTTTTTACCATTGCTGCTTTCACCCACCTGTGAGGATTTTGACCCTTTCAGCTCAACAAAAATCTGGGAAACTTTTCCCTGACGTTTGTAAAACACCACAGCTTACAAAAACCAAAATCCTCTGAGCTCCAGCCCTATGTTCAGTGCCACAGCAGGTTTCCTTCACGCTGTAAAATGTTGTAAGACTGGAGAGCTGTGGTGCAGGGAATGTTACCCAAGATTTTGTCACCAGTCATATTAAATTCCATTCTAAAATTAGGCAGTATTATCATTTATTTGCATGTACTTATATTTCTAAAATCTACCACTTCATTATTGATTCGTCTTATTTTCCCCACTTCATCTGATAGCACCAAAGGTAGCAAAAAAAAAAAAAAAAAAACTCAGAAACCTCAAGCGACTTCCAAGACACTTCTAGAAAACTGATTAGAGTCTGGAGTACTCAAAAACTTCTTGTCTATTCAACTGTCTGACCAAAAACCATCCCAAAATTTCAGTCCCTCCCCAAAAAAAAGAAAATGGAAAACACTTCAAAAGTACTTTTCTTATTCACTGTTCCACCTGGCACGTTCTTTGAGGCTCGTATCAAAAAGCACTCCCCAAGCTTAGACGTCAACCAAGGTAGATTAAATAATAATAAACTAGATTAAAGAATAGTATAATAGACCCAGCAGAGAGGAGGATGTTCGTGCACCCAGAGCTGGAACACAAGGGGCCAGGGCTACATCCCCCTGCCTTTCTCTTCACACTGCAGCTCACCTCCAGCACGACGCTGGGAGCAGGCGCAGGCTGGGTTTTACAAGCAGGGGTATACATGCACATTTCCTTCCTGCTTGTTGCTCAACAGAGGAGGGATTATTCATCCTTCATGGCTGACAAACTGCAATAACACAGGACTCTCCTCGATGAGCGTGTTGGTGCTTGCAAAAGCCATGGCAGCTCTGCTTTGGCTGTTTGTAAAAAGGTAGGATGAACAGTAAACACAAATCTGGCTTCTTGATGAAAGTTGCTAGCTGGCGCCTCTGGCTAGAAACTAAATAATTTTTTTTAGAGGTAGCAAGTGGGAGCCACCCCTCTTTGCTTCAGATGTTCAATCGATCTCCTCCCAACAAAAACTTTTGACTCTCAGGTTTGCAGATGGAGTTGAGATGCAAAAAGAGTAAAAACACAGAGCGAGCCCTGCTGAAATT